TTAATGTATAGTTTACAAAGGTTTAATAAAGCACACCTAACTAACCTGACAGAGGGTTAATATAAAAAAAAAAAAAAGTAAATAGTTATAAATTTGTTTTTCAAAAAAATCATAAATGATCTATAAATTTATATATTAAATATTTTAAAAATCTACTTTTAATTACAAAAAAAATCAGAAAAGATATATATAAAAAAGTTTATAGAATAATTTGTTTTTATATCAATAAAGAAATAAAAGACAAAAAAAAAAGTATTATTAGGATTGATAATTAAATAAAAAATTGATTAAAAGAAATTTAATAATTAAATTAAAGTTTTTTTAATACTATATATAGATATATAAAAAAAAGAAAAAATCTAAAACAGTTATTGTATTAAAATAGTAAATTAAAAAAAAAATCTAAGTATTTTTGAAAAAAAAATATAAAAAAAAATATAAAAACAAATTGAATATATTGATTACACATGATCATAAAAAACTGATATTATATTCAATAAAAAATATGAATCAAGAAAATAAAAGAAAAAAAAAAGAAAAGAGTAATATAAAAATTATTAAAGAATAGATCTATTATAATATTAAATAGTTTGAATTTTAAACTAAGAATAAAACTTAGAATAATTTATAGTAATAATTTGCAAATAATTATTTTACAGATTTAATGTTAATTCAAATTAGCAAAAAAATGGGATATTATTCCTTAAGTTATATTTAGATAATTAGTTTTTCTACAATAGATTAATTAATATGTAAAATTATTAATTTTGTAATATCTAATATATATATATACAATAAAAACATTATATTAATTTGATTATAGGTTAAAAATTTTTTTTACTAATAAATAAATAAATAAGTAAATAATAATAATTTATTATTTCAGAAACTTTTTTTTAAAAAAAAAAATTATTGTTTATTTATTATTTGTAATTTTTTTAATAACTAATTATTGTAGTGTAACAATAATAAAAATAAATAAAAATATTTATTATTATCATTTAAAAAATTTTTAATATAATTATTATATATATTATTATATAATTATATATACAATATAATAAAATTATTTTAATTAAGAGATTATAAAATGATATAAAAATTTAAATATTAACTGAAATTTATAATTAAAAGAAAAATTTGAATTATTTTTACTATAAAATCAAGTAAAAAAAAAAAAAAGAAAGAAAAAAAATTTTTTTTAACTTTTGATTTTATATATATAATAAAGTTTTAATGCATCAAAACTTATTTGATATATAAAAAATCTCAACTTATTATGTATTATTAAAACCATATTAATTTTGTTAAGCAAATAATACAACATACGTACGTGTTGACAGAATTAAGATATTTGTCTAAAGTTCTATACTTTATAACGAATAGGTTTCAATAACTTTATTAATATTTTATTTTTCCCATAACTGATCCAAGAGTTTGTATTATGATTGATATACATAATTATCTATGTGAAATTAGAAATCACAAACTCTTGAAAGCTGGTTTCGTGAAGTGACGAGATTATTCTTTCTCAAAAACAACGAAATGGACGCAATAAAATCAATTGTAACTTAATGTCAGTATTTAAGAAGGAAAATAAAAGTAAATTTTATTACGGTGATTTAATTAATTTACCATCGTCAGATCATAATTATAGATCAAATCTAATCTTTATCACAAAGTAGTGGGCCATATGTACATTGCATTAGTTAATTCCAATATTGTTCAACTTAAATTTCACAGTGTGCTCTTTATGCATCTCGCTAATTTACGCTAGGTGCAAGCCCAACACTTAAGTTTCCATAATTAAACACCGTATAAACATTCTTTAGAAACACGTCACCCACCACCCAATCATAAGCTCCATAGGAAATTCCTGACATTACACCCGAAACACATCCCTCAGTATCAGGCAAAATTACATCGCTATCTTTTATATGATACAGGATTCCTCCGAACACAAAGCTCATATTAAATACTGTATTACATGGAATAGAATACAGTCCAGTTGTGGGATCAAACGATGACCCCGGAATCAATGAATGTATCTCCTGCGCATCATCTGGTGGTGCTACGATTAATGTAGTGCCGGTGTCAACTATAGCGAACCTTTTTTGAACTGTAGATTTACCAGCTACCATAATATTATCTATGCTAATTGTCCACCAGGCTGTGTCATTTGTCACATTATTGTAATTAACATATCCGGTAAATTTCGAATTATCTATTCCTCCTAATGTTAAAGTTCCTTGGTCCCCTTTACTGGCACTTCTTTGAAGATGAATTGCGACATAAGGGTCAATTACATGTTGGGCGGCCAACGTTTTAACTGGATTTAGAGTCCCTGCGTCAGGATCATCACGAGGAGATAATCCAAATATTCCATCAAACGTATAACTTGAGAAAGTACTCGAAACATTGTAGGCAAGACCAAACTTTTGGTTTTTGGCAGTCAATCCTGCTAAAGTGACATCAATTTCAGATAGATAGCCATCCATAGATCCCGTCATATATTGGATACTAATAGGACCCAGTAAAGGGCTCGATTGATTGAATCTTAAATGACCAGTGCAACCACTACTTGTACAATTTGCGGCGGGAACCCAAAGTAATGGTGATCCGCTATCGAACATCAATTGAAATACTTGACTACCAACGGATACCGGACCGTAGTATGCAATATCATTGAGACCTTGCGCGCTATAGTCGTTTAGTGATTCTGTGGCACGTTTATATTCCGATCCATGATGATATTTGTAAAGAGGAATCGTATATTGTGATTTTGTCGTGGGTGATGCTTTTACACTTACTGCTACGGCTGTTATCAGCACTGCTAGAAATACTATTATTGAATTCATAATTTTTTAATATCAATCGTGGGTTGGGTTAAATAAGGTCGAAAGAAGTATTGGTTTTCTTTTATTATTATTTTTTTTTTTAAAAAAAAAAAGACCTTTATAAGCAGACTATATGCATACGTACGTACAATAAAATATCACAGACGACCAAAAATGGGATTCATGGCGTTTTTATAACGGAGAGTCTGGTGAGAGTATAGTGTCACCAAATATTATTACATTTTTGAAAACAGAATATTGCGCGCAGTATCCTGAATTAATTTTCTCAATTAGGAAACTCGATAATGAGAATCAGGCACAACCGACTTTTCTTTATTTGATTCTAATAGGTGGTCTTGGCTGTATGGTTACATCGAACAAATATTAATATTGGCCTTTATACTAGTATTGGTCTTGGCTTTCCCTACGTCACACGATTACGTTACATTTGTATACAACTCTCGCCCAATTCAACTCATGATTACATTATGTCTCAAATGTTTGTACGTGCGTATTTTAAATAGATTGTTAGCGAAAATATACGTACGAATGTGCGCATGTATTTTTTATTCTTATGTCCTAGCTCTACCGAAATGACGGTTCTGGTTTATTATATACTGTGTCTTTTATAATGAACAAATACTGTATTTGTGCTATAAAAAAAAAGAATTTATTATTTAAACTTTTTTTAAATATAATTTTTTAATCATGAATATATTGTAGATATTAATTAATATAAAAAAAAAAAATCCTTTTTCTTTAATAAATTAAGAAATTTTTTCAAGATAGAAAATTTTATTTTAAATCAATATATAATAAACAATTAATATTATAATAAAGATTGGTCTTTTCTGTAATACTTTTTTTTAACCCTCTGTCAAGCTAGTTATGTGTGCTTTATTAAACAATTGTAGGCTGTACATATAGTATAAATCACTAAAGCTAAAACTTTAACTAGCTTACTCATCTCAGTAATTACTCTAAGTGCAACTTTG